GGGAAAGAGCAGCTGCTTTTCAGGACCTCTCTTCCCGCAGACTCCTCTTCTCTCCAGCAGCAGCTGGAGGGTTCTCGTCACCGTGGAAACCAGACAGCAACATTTAATCAGCTCCTACTACCCATTCCACTTTAAAGAGAGTCATCGCAACATTTTGCCAGGCTTTCTGAAGGACACAAACACGTTATGTTAGCAGCTGAGAGAATAAGAAGACTAAGTCTTACAGAGAGAATGACATTTCTTAGAACATAAACATCAGCACATTAATATTTATAAACATATATTCTGTCGACATGACAGGTTCTGTATGACCGCAAAAGACACTCTTCTGTTTGGCAAATGATGTAACGCAGCACAGAAGCTGTGCAACTTTGCCCCGATGGCCTGTTCTTATAAATTACAAGGATGCTCTGCTGTCACAGAGACCACGTGTCATGACTACTTCAATCCTCTGCCACTTTGCCAATGCCAGGAGGAGTATGAAACATATTGCTGTTTGTGCCTGAGTGACTTTTACAGAGCAAAAAACTCCACAGAACTTGTATACTGACAACATCAACTTTGTTTTCATATACACCATAAACAGCTTTGATGCAGAAAGAGCACGTGGCCAGGAATCTCAGCTCCGCCAATATCTGAAGTTCCTCAGGTTACACTTAGTCACCTATGGCTATAATGCTTCTCCATCACAGGACAAACACTTCTATAGCATATTAGAAGTTAACCTTAAGAAATGAAAGTTGGTAACACAGGCCTCTGTTCCGAAGACATCAAATAAAAATGCAAACCTGTTAAGTACTTGCATAAATACATTGAATATTAGGCAACAGTGTAAGATATGTACCTGCTAGTGAAGGAAACTCAGCAAACATCTCTTGCAGTGCAGGGGTTGGAGCTGCAGCTTGCCGCTGCATCCTGCCTAACCATTTAGGTGTGTGACAACCACAGAAGGTACTAGAGAGACAATCTCTCTCCTCAGAACGTCCAACTCAAAAGCCTCAAATGAAGCGCTGACCTGAAAAGTCAGCTTTGGTCTGACACGGGCACAAGTCCTTCTCCATCTTCCCATGCCAGAAAAGAAAGCAAGCTAAATAAATACAGGACACCTAAAAACAGAATAACGGTGGTTCTCCGTTCCTTAAGATGCCCTGCACACAGACTATTGGAGGAACCAGTGTCAGTAGTTTACTGTACTAACAAGAGTGAGAACCTCTTAATAGCAAAGCAATGTTGTTCCCAGTCTGCACCAAGGAAGGAATGGAGTGTTTTGGAGAAAATGATCAGAACCTTCCGGCCTGAAAAGCAAGGTCAGGGGCTTGCCTTGCAGGAGGCGTGCACAGCCCCAGGCTGATGTGACTGGCAAGAATTTGGCACCTCTGTGGACAAATTTGAGTGAGACTTTCACAAAGGGAGTATTATTCAAAGGTAAGGACCTTGGTTGCAGTCTCTGCTCCCATCTTATCACAAGCATTAAGGACAGCTGACATAACATCAGCTATTTAGACAGAAAAACAAGAGTGTTGATCTCGCACTTTTCTGTAAAAGCCCAAAACAATCTTCCCTTGGAGGTCAGAAGAAAATATGGAATTAAAAAAAAAAAAAAAAGGAAGGGGGAAAAAAAAAAAAAGATGGATACTTATATCTAGCAGAGAAGTCCAATTTTTTTTCTATTTCTTGCTAGTTGTCAGCATAATGCTAAAAGAATATATTAGCTGCTGTAAAGTGACAGGAAAAAAAAGAACAAGTACCAGAAAACATGAACTATTACCACATATTCAAAGTGAGGCTCAAATTCAAATATTCTGTTCAGAGGCTGATGAGCTATTCTTCATTTGAGGAATTTTTCATTCTTAAACAATGGGCTTTTCAAACTGCAGCAGAAACTACTCGATAAATGTTGTTTTCCAATTTTAATCATTGCACATTTATACTGAAATCAAAGTCTGACTGCAGCTTATATTGCGCATTTATACCACTTTTAATTGCTTGGGTATGAGCACAACAGCAAACAGCCTGCTACAGCCTGATCCAGGCTGTGAAAAATACAGTTTTTAATCCATTTCTCAGATAGCTTTTATAGTAGCCAATACATGTGCAGATACCAATTTGCTAAGCTTGTGTACAGTATACCAGTCACAAATTTGTAGCTAATTTTTAAAAAGGCCTAATTTTAGTTTTGTTAAAGAACACTGCAGTATAGAAGACGACATCTGGAACAAACCACACAAGATGACCAATATAATGAAAAAGGGCACGTTATACATGTTTATTATCAAATTTACATTCCGCCTTGAAACAACAGTAAGTGCAAAAAGCAGATGAAAAAAATACTATGTTCCCAGACCATTTAAATATTGTGTTATCCCCTTGTGCAACAGCCAAAAGAGGCTCAAACCCACATTTTCCTTCCTTTTCTTCTGCTTTTTGATTACAGTAGACTTTCCACTTTATCGAGCATGGTATTTGGAGCATGCAGGTATCACTGAATTTATCAAAGCCAGTGAAACTATAGCTTTCTAGTTCTGTAGGCATAAAGTTAAATTTTATACTTAGTTTAAGCCATCTTAAAATCTGAACAAAGCTAAGCACTACAAGTATTTCTCAGTCTCCTGAAACTTTCACATGCATGGATAATTCCTTTCTTTGTATCACCTGCTTTTTGGTTCTGTCCCAAACCTGCAAGATAACAGAAACTTTTCCAAATGCTGCTCTTCCTTGCTTCTAATTCTCCCTCGCCCTCAACCAAGTCACACTGATCTGCATCAAAAGATCTCGAGCAGGATCTCAGCTATCTCAGTCATGCAAGTTCATTTCCTCTCTAGTGGGAGGCAACAAAAGCCAGATCAGTTCCTATAATGATGACAGCTTTTAATATGCTATCAGAAACACCTTCCAAAGAGTTTGTCTTCTAGGTTTTGGCACAAAACAGTAAACTTGGAAGAAGTAGTAGTTTCCCCGGTCACCGCAAGTTAGGGGCACGTATACACAATGGACACGACTGCCCAAAGGGTATAAATGCACGACAGTTTCAACAAGCACTGCACCGCAGCATCAGCCAACCGCAAAAACACACAAGCACAACAGTACAAAAATTATGTCCTCTTCTTCCTGCCTTGTGTAAAGTATCTGATTATATATCATCCTACAAGAAGTTTTCAGACATATCCATAATGTAGATTGAACTGCACCCGATTATATCATTAGGTTATGGAATATGGAAGTGTCCCAAAGACAAACATGCATTTCGTTAAAGTGCTTTTAGATGAATTTTAGCAGAAGTCTGGTCTGTCAAAGGAATTGCGATTTAGTTCACGTGTTGCTTCTGCTACTAACACACACAATGATCCAGTGGCTGGAGTTATTTAATGAAGTTAGTTAGGAACATAGTGAAATACCTTTGAAAGTTTACCTGTAACTTACATGCTTCCTATAATAAGTGTATATAAAATGGACACACATTTGACACATTATACGCTTCTCTGCCTAATCTTCTGTTCACTCAAACCTGTTGTTTCTCTGGGAGCTGCAAATACAGAGCAAACATACCAGTCTCTTAGTTCACTGAAGAACCTAAGAACTCCCCTTCCCTTCATTCTTATTCTTATTTAGCTAGGTAAGACCCTGTGCACAGCTAAGGAAGTACAAACATAAATACTTACAAGAAGAAATTAAATAGTTTTCATTTAAAACAAAATTAACCCGTAAATTGTATTTTAAATAAAATTCACCTTTTATAAGTGTAAAATTTTGCTTAGAGAGCAAAAGGCAACTCCAGGAGTTCCTGAATATTTCTGTGCGCTGCTGACAGACAAGCTTCTGCTGAGAATCCTTGTGCAAGTTTGAAGTGGTTACTCCTTTTCTTTTAGGAAAGACTACTGTATCACAAAGAGTCACTATAAGATCTATAGGGCTGTACAGGTATAAAGGCCACATTATAAGTTACCTATAAACTGGTTTATGAAACTATCTTTTCCTGCCCTACTCCACACAACCCTGCAGCAACAAGGGCCCTGATTATGATGGATGTGCCCCCTGCCAGCTACAAATCGGTGTATTTATACTGATGCTTCACCCCATGAATCCAGAAAGATACCAGCTATGTTCTGTTCTAACAAGCAGGGTAAACTTTGACTGTTTTATGTAGTTGTATGGAAGTAGACCTTAAAAATTACTTCAAAAAATTGAAAAGTATAGAGAAAAATTATATAAAGAGTAAAAATCTGTTTCTAATCTGGTCACTAGCAAAGACCCATTCCTCTTAGTAATTTCAGGCAAATGTATTTTCTTCTATAAGTTATGCTACAAATTATGATATATTGTTGATCATTCAGTTATGGCTAGAATCTTGGATAGGATCAGTTTTGTTTTTTTTTCCCTGAATCCAAAAGGCAGCCTGGGCTGTAATATTCTGCAAATTACTGCTCAGACAGAAATCAGATTTCTCCACCAGACTTAGATATTTTTTTTGAGGCAGAAAGCCTGCCTCAGTTTTGTTCAGAAGCAGGCTCAGAATCACTCTCCCGCATCAAAACACAAGATTCCAATGCAGACAAAACTGATTTGTATCCATTACAGTGCTGCAAAGAACACTGGCTTTCATTTTCTTTGTTGTTTCAGAATGTAGAATGCTAAATTTTGCTCTAACCACAGATCCAAAACAATTTCCAAAGATTTTCTTAATGAAATCTTTTCAATAGAATCCTGCCTAAAATCAGAAATACCTGCATGAAACGCATTAAGTTTACTACAGAGCTCTCAAATGTACAGACTTCCAACACTTGTCTTTAAGTAAATGCTCTCTGCTTAGGTCAAATAAAAACAAACCCTGAATCAAGCACCTAGGCTTTATTTCCCTTTGCAACACTGACATGCGCCTGAGATTTTTTTTGTAGGTGCAAAACTACCCTCCTCCTAAAAAAAAAAAAAAAAGATGCATAGCACACTTTGGAAAGTTATCTTAGCATGAAATAAAACATTTTTACATTTTTTGTACCTAATACATACTTTCCTGCTTTTTAATTCTCATTCATTGCACCCTCCTCTGTGTGCTTCAGAACCTCTGGAAAGAAATTCGCTTCTGTTAATACTTCACTAGCACAATTTCCTAACAGGGAATGAAAGGTTCTCTCCCCTGCTTCTCAAAATGGGGAGGAGTTCAATAGAGGGCTTCAGTGCAGCCTCTGAACTGGAAAATACAAGAATCAAAAGAATCCAAATTTCTGTATTTGTTCGCTAGAGAGAGAGAGACTTGAAGCAGTGATGCTAGTCAGACTGATTGTTATTTGAATATTATATTTAAATGGTACAGCCTGACTGCTAACAACTAGTAAAACACTATGATCATATGGTGGAAAAATAGAACAGCACCTGCAAGACAGTTCTAAACATACAGTTTAAAAGATTAAAATACTGAGAATATCTACTATGGTCTTCTATTTTTGCTTAAGCTAAGATAGATCCAGAAAAGGGCCTCAGAACTAAGCTTTGGTTTCTTCTTTCTCATCTTCCATTGAACCCTTTTTCCTCAAACCCAAGTGACGTTCTTTTCTCCTCGATCCCAACACGTCGCTCTCGCACATCTTTTAACATGCACATGCCTTCTCCAACTCTTCTGTAACACACTTTACCATGCCTGTGCTAAATGTTTATCCCTCATTTATTATTTGCTATGCTACAAATCAGCTGTTTTTCAAACCACTTAATTCTCCTTTAGCAGATCCATTTTTGATGACTGCGTGCAAACTGGAGCTCCCAGCGCCCCAATCATGACAGGAAGGCTCTGGTTTCTTCTCAGTCCTGCCATGAAGTTGCCACCTGCGTTTAAAAATACAGCAGAGTCCTGTCTCTGCAGACCAACCTCTGTGCCCTGATTTCTCCTTTGGTCCTGTGCCTTAGGGGGCTTGACCACCCTGGCAATACCCAGCCTCTTCAGCCTGTCCACCAGGTTCATCTTCAGTTGGCCTGTGTCTGGAGTGTTACGGGAGGGCTTTAGACCATACATTTCTTGCAAGAACGTTTCCGCTGGTCGTGAGGCCAGGAAGTTTTCCGAGAGATGTGTTCGAGGCTCGAATGGTGGCGGAGAAGGACAAGGTGAACGTGAAGGAGAATTTGGTGGAGTAGAAGGAACGGGAACAGTTCGAGGCGGCTGTAGCAAAGGCAGTTTTTCTAAGATGGGGCTATCATAAACTTTGGCAGAGATGCCTCGTTCTTGCAAAAGTTTGGCCAGACTGCTGGTGCTGCTGAAGGTAGTAGTTGAGTCTCTTCTGTTGGTGAGGAATTCTCCAATACTAAGCCTGTAAGACATGGCTGGAGTGCTCACCACTGCACTTCTAGTGCTGTGAGCACTATTTCCAAGTGAAAATGGAGTGCACGTGGAGCTGAAACAAAATAAAAACATGACAAAGAAGATACATGCATTAGACATCTTCATACCTACTCTGCTCTGTATTTGCCCTTTAGCATGAGGAAGACTTGAGAAAAAGTAAGCTATTGGCATTAGCTTTGATAGTTACGGCTTTAATAGATTAAGAATTACTGCTCTCCAAAATATTTAGAAGATACTAGGTTGACCGAGAAGTCATAATAGACACAACCAGAAAGTACCGAAGAATTTATCTTTTGTATACAATATGTAAGGTATGTAATATGTAATATATGGTCATGGAGGAGAAAAAAAACCCACCCACATTTTAAAATTCTATTAAAACACTTCTTAGAATAATCTTGCCATATAATCAAGCTCACTGTTGTGTTATGCCTTCTATTTAGCTTCAAAAAGTTAAGTTTTGTTCTAAGATTACAAGCAAGAGACTAAAACTTTCCAAGACCAGTTGCCACTCAGGAGCTTTTAATTGCATGTTCCATAAAAAAAAAAAGAACGAACTTACTCTGTTGAAGAAAACATCAGTTAGTGAAGTTCTGCTAAATTTCCAGACAACTGAAACCTGAATTCCCAAAACTACCTGTGATACAACCTTGAAAGGCTGCTTCTTATCAGCTGCAGAATATCACACTAATACCAGTCTTTATTTCCCAGGCACAAATCGTGTAATCTCTTCTGCTCCAACACTAACTCAGATGATGCTTCCCAAAACAGTAATTATAACTGTTCTGTTTTCTGAAAAGACGTTCTGGGTGGATAGGGGATGTCAGGCACACTTAAACTCCTCTATTAAAGATGCTCTAAAAGCCAAAAACCCCCACAAAAAACAAACATCCAAACAAGAAAATTAAACTGGGTTAACAATTCTGAACCAGACAACTGACCCACTTAAACAGGTATTCTGCTGTAAAGAAGACACAACCAGCCAAGCCAGAATGTAACAATGGCTACCCGCAATGAAAACCTTTATTATAGAGATTTTTTTTTTAATCCTATAGAATCTGAAATACCAACTATGATCAGCTGTACTGTATTAAATCGAATATCTACACAGATGGCCAGTAATAACTTAGTTGAAAAAATCATGACAGAATAGGTATCAACTGCTTCTTTGAAGAGATCTACGATGAAAGAAATTTTCAATTTAAGACTAAATTTACTTTCCTCTAAATTATCCTGACCTGTTTCTCACTCTCACTGTGGGAAATTTTAACTATCCCCTTTATAATTACAGCCATTTGTGTCAGAAGCATCCTACATGCTGCCTCGCTATTTTTTTTAAAGCTGGTCCATACGTTAAAAGCCAGAAAGCAACTGTTTAATCCTATGCAGCAGCTCCTAGAATGTCAGGAGTCATCGTACCTGGGAGTAACCTGGGTGACATCAGATGGATGAAGGATCCTACAGGTAGTGAAGGTAAATGTGGAATTTGTGGAAGACAGACATTTCCCTGGATTTGAGGCTGCAACGTGGAAAATTTGCATCCAGTGAGGGTAAAAATAAAGACAGAAAAGGGCTAATCAAAGCAAAGCTTAAGACAATATTATTACCACTGCTATATCTATTTTAATAAAGAACAAAGGCAGTGAAAACAACATTGTCTCAAGGGCAAATACTTTCCATTGAAAAAAAAATATTGTCATCAGTTCATTTTAAGATCCCTTTAGTGACTTCCTTTATATTTTTTCGATAAAAGATAAGCCGAAACAACACTGCAGATCAATGTTGACAATACAGCACATTCCCCTAAAAAGTTTAACACAAAATTAATTTCTTCCTGTCTTAGGCTACCCATTCTCTTCTTTTATCAGGGCGTTCTTTTCCACAGAATACAGTTTAACAGTTTTTACTAACAAAAATAGCACACTTCTTAAATTAAATTGAAAATGCCAATCATCTTCAGTCGTCTTAATTTGACGACTGCTTAGCATATAGTAAATAATTCAGATTTTGATCTTACTGCAGATAAGTTTTCCAGCAACCATGTTCTACCTAACTGCAAACAGACTTGGAAGACAAGCATCACCTTCTGAAATCACTAACATTACATCTGGAAGAACCCAGATGATATTGGCAACGTCTCCCCAACAAATTCACTTGGTTTAATGCTACTTAGGTTTTAATGACCTAAGACTTGGGGCGAGGGGAGGCAAAAACAATAAAGGCATCAAGAATGGATTAAAACCTCAATAATCAGCATGCAAAAGGAGGAAAAACACTAACTCTGCTTCTTACCAGTGAGTGGTACCGTTGCTGAAGTAATAGGTGGCAGGAAAATCCCTGCTACTGGCTTTGCCACCGCACACTTCCTTTTCTCCAGGAAGGAAGGTTGCACTTGAAACGTTATACCTCCTTCGCCTTCTTCCTCATCATCCTCCTCCAAGTCAGAGATGTGGTACACAGCATCATCAGATAGAGGGGTAAAACCTTTTGTAACAACACCTGGTCTTGGGTCAAGAATGGTGCCTAGGTTCGGTCGAGCAAGCTGCTGCCAGTGAAACAGGGTCTGAGATCCTGGTGTGACAAAAGAAAAGTACCTCAGAAAGCCATTACCTACTATTATACAGACTTACAAAAGCACATGATCAAAACAACTTCGGCCAAGTGGTGCTGACACTGTGGTACACGTGGTGTACTCGGATGGCAACACCAAGAATAAGAAAAAGCCTAACTGTTAGCGCCATACAGGAAAAAAACCAAGTGCTACTGCTGAGCTGGTGGGTACCTAGCCTACGGAATACTACTTTTTCCTCTTATTGCATATCACACCTATCTATACACAGAGCAACAACAATTCACCTGACGAATTAATCTAAAATCCTCTTCTGAAGAGAGAAGGAAGGTCATTCTCTTACCTTCAATGGGCTTGACAATTTGTAATTTTTCTGGTAGGAGGACACGGAAGTTACTGGAGCTGGCAGAAAGATCTGTGAATTCTGAGTCTGTACTAAGGGAAAAACAGCTTTCTGCGGGTGTACTACAGCCACTAGCCTCTTCTTTCTGCTCAGCCAGCAAACGCATCTTTCGCTCCCACTCCTCCTCAAAGAACTGCTTTTCGCTCAGGTAGTTCTCACGACGGAGGGACAGCCTATGCAGAGCTGTGGCTAAGTCACTGTCTCCAGGGTCTCCTGGCTGGCCTGGCTTATGAGTGTCCCTGGGAGAGAAGAAATTAGACAATAGTAGATATTAAGACCATTAAAGTAAACATTTCTTCCCCACACACAGAGATCCAGTCTGGATTTAGTTTCAAATCAGTAAATTTAGAAAGACAATAACAGGCTGTGTTTCCTACCTCAAATTCTTCTCAGAGCTGCTCCTCTGGGTCATCTGTGCGTGGCTCTCCATCCGGTGCAATCCAGACTGAAAGGGCTTTGCTGTCATAACAACACTTGACTGATTAGATCCAGGGATTGGCAGAGGGGCAGGAAAGGAAGAAGAGCGACCACGAGTGACATTAGCAACCTTGACAGTGTCAAATACTCGTTTCTGTTGACCCCTAGAGGCAAGCAAATAAAACAAACAAACATGGTTTTCAGAAGCATTTTGGAAAGGATATAATAAAGAAAAAGCTTCGAGCAACAGACTTCCCAAAGGCTGCAGAGTCATAACTAAAAAGATTTAAGCCCAGAACAGGACTGCCTAAGACGCTGTAAGGAATACTGTTCTAACAAAATATCAGAACTGCCACTCACTTTGATTTGAAACAACAAAATACTCCACTGATAACCACTGGAGACCTTTCAAGGGCATCTACTTAACCCTTATTCAGAAGCAACGGCTCCAGGAATAGGCCTTCAGGGCTTTGGAAACTGCTACCAGTCTTTCAGCCTAATTTCTTTTGCAGATAATTTTTCTACAAGGATTAAAAGAGATGAAACTGGTGCTGTGCACTGGAGAAGCTGCATCAAAAATCTAACAAATTCAAAAAGGAAATAAAATCCTTTTAGCAAATTCTCAACTTTCTCATAGAATTAAATAAGAATGGGAGGTTTCAACACTGAGAAAACTATCAAATACAACAAAGCTTTTTTATTAAGTTACAAAGAAGAGTTATCAAAGAGGGAACATTCAGGCTTATAGATTTCCAGAAATCAGTTTCACCTCATTTAATACAGGCATATAGAAAAATATCAAAATAGCCTATACAGATGAAGCTGATAAACATACTTTTGCTTAGAAGGAACAGATTCTTCACCCTGACTCAATTCCTTCCGCATTGTCCCTTCAATTTCTGCTGCAAGGGAATCCTAAAGAAAAACACAAACCAAAATAATTTATGAATTAGATTGAAGTATCCTTCCTAACAATTTCAGCAGAAAATATTTCTTAGAAATAAATAAATAAATGGAATAAAAATGCACTTGTCTCCCCCATATCAGTAGGTTTCAGCACAGTGTGTTATGCATAAACCTCTAACTCTCTGAAAAGGGAAGGGGTGGAGGGGAAACCTTCCACCCTAACTACACCTACGTAAACTGAACCCATACTAGTTTTACATTAGCAACCCTTCTGGGGGATTCGTTATGTTGCTTGCTTAAGTTAAGCTACAATTGCAAGAGCACTTCTTCCAAGGCCAAAACATATGTACATGGGGGATACTATATAGAACAGCCATCCAAAACCCGACAAATTCCCAGGAAGGCCCAGCAACTTGTGAGAGTACAGAACACACCTGACTCTAAGAACAGGAGGAGGAAAATAAAGGTTTTTGGAAGCTTTTCCATTGGTTTAGTCATCTCTGGCAATTAGACTAAAGTTATGATTTTCTGATGATGCTTAAAATTTATTTCACAACAAGATAAGGAGATAAGGACATAAAACTACATCATAAACTACATCACTACATAAAAATCCTCTTGGAACTCTTGAAAAAAATGTTTTGTTTTGTTTCTTAAAGAAATACTGTCAAGGTATAAGATTCACATCAACATTGAATGATACACTAGCACAACTGGGCATTAGCTATAGAACTGGCCAATTCCCCTGTTTAAGGGAACAGTCATATAAAAACAACCGTTGTAATACCACAATATGGCAAATGAATGACTATTTTCCTAAAGCATAAAATTCTCAGAAGTGAATGCATTAAAGAATTAAAAGACTGTAAGATCAGCCCCTTTGCCTACTGCAACATAGTTCTCACTGCAGCTCCAGTAGCAGCTGTTTTACTCATAGGTCTTTGCTACTATGGACCACATGTACCAGTAGGTATATACCAAGCTAGTGGTATTTATTACCCCAGAAAATGCTCGACATGCCTGAGGGCGGCAGAGAACAGCAGCAGAGCTGGCTCTGCTGCGCAGTAACTTCACTTCTTCTTGTGATTCGTGTAACATCCCCAGACACTCTGCGTTCCGATCTTGCAGCTCGTGTAGCTGAAAGAGGAAAGAGGAGATCAGTGCTACCAATAAGCTTCAATAGAAGCAAGTAAAAGACAGAATGAAACTCAGTTTACTCCTACAGAACCTTATACAGAAGAGACTGATTCAGCACTACAATATTTCTCCGCACACACAGCGCATGCCTGCATCTGGAAACAGAAGCGGTAATACACAGTGCTCAGCATGGTGCCCGCCCTGATTTCAGTGGTAAAGCATGAAGTACAAAGTAAAACTTGAAAGAGGAAAAGGTAAGATAGAATCCAAAGGAAAATGCATCAAAACACATTGTAAATACAGTAACAGCAGATGCAAAAGAGGCATAAAGGAGGACTTCAAGATCTAGTGAGCTAGAGTTTTGCTGATATAATCAGTAACAGTCACATTAACTCATTTTCTCATAGCAACTTAAGTATAGTAAGATCTACCCACTTGCACACCTTCCTTGCCTTTCACTCATGTGAACTACAAATATGATTGTTGTTGAGTTAGCTGAGAAATTTTGCTTTCTCTCCAACCATTTTCAGAAAAAAAAAAACCCACCACTTTCTGTTCTCTTTTAGTTTTTTCTCTTATGTTCCATTTCAAACATATGTATAGAAAGCCTTAAGTACCTCTGCTGTTAGTTGTCTCTGTGCATCTTTGGAAGCTTGTAGATGAAGTTTCAGCTCCTCCTTTTCAATCACATGCTGAAAGCACAAAAAAGGTGCTAATTATTTTCTCAGCTGATTCCCCTGAGAGAGTTGATCCTCTGCCATGCTCTCCTGAAACAGCCACTCTCTTGTGGTGTAGTCCCCCTGGCTTGCAAATCTATTCTCCCCTGCTGTAAGCGCACGCGCACACACATGCTTCACCACCACTCCCTTACTTCTTTGAGTTTATGTTGAAGATCAACAATCTGAGACAAGAGGGATGAGATCTCCTCCTGGTAGCGAACCAACTCCTCACTCTTTTCTGACAGCTCCTCTGTTATTCTGGAAATCTGAGCATTCGATTGCCCTACAAAACATAAAAAGAACTTAGTCAGCAGAGAGCTTTTTCCAACACATGGTGAAAAAAAGAGGGGATCTGTGAAAGTCAAATATCTGCAAAATGACCAATATTCTTAGGAAATCAATTCCCATTTCATAAAAGCAGGAGCCCTGGAACATCTGCAGAGTACAAAATAAAGAAAAGGGGCAGGAAGGAGGAGAAAGGAAGAGATTCAACTTTAAAAGTAGGTGTAACATATTAAAAAGAGAGTAAAAAGTAAGCTAGAATCCCAAGGAAAATACACCAAAAAATACTGTAAATATAGTGACATACTTATCACTGACATACGGGAAGACAGAAGTTCTGCAAAATGATCATTGCAGAATCCAAGGCAGGCTGCTGTAAACAATTTCAAATGACAAACTGGCTCATGACCTAGGCTAGTCTTATTAGAAGATGCTGAAGTAGTCAGATGGAGCTGATCTTGTTATTAGCTACCATTCTCTGTATGCAAAGAGATTTCATCAGATCTTGTCAAGCATAACATATGGCTATTTAGCTCTTGATTCTGGTTACTATCTATTCCCCAAAGACCCAACGTCTACAATTTCCCATCTCCTCTTTTTTTTGTTCCTTTGAGTGAGCAGCTTCATTATGTAAGATGACAAAGCACCTCAAAAAAATGAAGTATTTTTATACAATGACAGTTTCTTGTATACCTGTCCTGAAAGCATAGCAAAGTAACAATAACGTCTGGTCAATCTTGCATGAAGAACAACTACAAATTTACAAACATAACCTTTAAGCAAGACGGTGTCTATCTTATTTCTGATTTGAAAAACAGAAGATTTTCCTTCAATCCTAACAAATTTTGAGTTAGAAGGAGGATTCTCTCTGATGGCGATAAGTATTTATTTGGTTGTTAGAAATACTGGAAATTTGCCAGATACATGTTTAATTGACAGTGGCCACAACTGTACTGTAGGACAGAGCCTGCATCACGGGCCTGCTGACATGTAACCTCACAGTTAGATACCTTTTCCTGAAGGCACAGATTTTAAAGCTGTACACTAGAAATCCTGTGGGAGAAGATTCTTCCTGTGAGTCTAAAGTGCCTAATGTGCCTGTATGTGCTATAAGATTAGACAAAATAGAGTTACTGAAGTTCCCATTGTAGGAAAATAGCAGGAGTTACATGAAACAACTTTATTTGATAAGGGTTTACATTTTCTCAGAGGAAGCACAGTTATTCAACAACCAGCTAGGTGCCAACTCACAGTGTTCTGTGGTTATCGGGAATAATAAAAAAAAAAAACAAGTAGCAACCCAGTCGTCTGGTAGTTGCATAAAATAAAGCACTCTTAAAAGATAAGCTTAAGGTTATTTATATGCCACAAAGGACACCTATCAAATAGCTATAGCTAGAAGATTGTACCACCAGGTTACACAACCACCACAGAAAACAAGGATCGCTCCTTTGTATTTCAGAATGCTTTTGTGCGTTTGCATACAAATAGCTGCAGTTCTTTGCAAATAAGGATCACTGTTTTGGACAGAACACTTGCCAATTTAAATGTGCTGAATATTCTTTTCAAGAAGCATATTTTGTTGATTTTCCAGTTTCTTTAGACTTCAGTTTAGGTGGTTTCATGAACGTTAGGGTCAGCGTTCATTTTCTCTCTTGTCCTCTCTCTAGCAACAGTACCGATATCTGAAGTTGAGTGCCAGAGTGAAGCTCTGTGAAATACAGAAATAGCTTTGAATTTGGGCAAAGAACAAGACTCAACTCATGGACAAAAATTACTGGAGCTCATTTTTGAATTCAGGGATAACTAAGAGAAACTGTAGGCACTATAGATGCTCAAATACCTTTTTGCCATTACAGGATATAACCCGGATACTCACGTAGCTCCTTGACACAGTCATTAACCAGCTGCTGTTCCTTTTCTTCATATGTAATGGTTTCTGTCTTCAGATGGCAAGCCTTCAAGAAAATTATAAAGTTTTCCAACTTACATTTATATATGCATCTATACTTATGTTAACATTATAAAATTTGTATTTCTGCAAGTGTTGCAATTGAAGAGCCTCCCCTCTCTCTTGTCTTTGCAATTTCTGTGCATCTGGCCATACTTCCTGTCCATTTTTTCCCACCACAACCTGTTTCCCTGAGTTGTGTAGGTCTTTTGAATGAAAGATGCCCACATGGATGCTCACATGCACAAACCCTGATCTCTCTCCTGCAAAATATGTAATTTGGTAAGGAAATGTAAACCAATACAAGATCAGAAGTAATTTGCTTCAAAACTTCCTAAGGCAAAGAAATCTTGAAAAGTAAATGATGCTAGCCAAATCCATTAGGCAGTGAAAAGCTCTCAATAGAACAGCATTTCGCATCTTCCCATGACTAGTAATATTTAGACTGCAAGTTTTCTGGGCCAGAGACTGAGTCTCACCACAAGTTTAAGCAACACTGAGCATACTGGATTTCCACCTTCATTGGACTCTCAATATGATTCCATAACACTAACCTTTGCACACAACAGTCTTTGTATTCAGGATTGTTTGCCAATAAGTGACTCAGAAAACTTAGTGATTGGGTTAAAGATTATTCAAGTGAATAGAAGTAGATACACAAGTGCAGATAAACATACTTCTTCCCATGACACTGTCATAAACATAAATAGTTCAAGGCTGTTCTTAGGAAAACAAAGGCAAGCAAACACTGGCTCAGTATGCTTGAGGCTATTTTTAATCAAGGAAGATGATGATATACCACAGAAAGACAGCAACCTCTTTTTAACTCCAGTTCTACCTACTAAGGTGGACTGAATTCATGTTTAGTTTCATAATAATATGCAGGGTTGGCATCACAAAAGCAGTCTGACATTCCCCTCATTCTTTTGTCCCAGCACTACCAAAATATCCATTTGATCTTTTAGAGTTTTAGGGAAGATGTGCTTCTCAGGCTGAGCATTTTGGAGACAAAACAAGGGGGAAAAAATATATGGTCCCTGAATTGTAAGTACTACCTAACACACAGGAAGGGTTGTAACAAACCAGAAAGACTTATATTGCCCAGAAGCTGTTAGGATGCTCTTTCTTTACAGATTTTCAATTCCCTTCTTCATGACAATTTTTAAATTCAAAAAGTTTTTGACATTGGAAATACAGGCCTGAGAAAACAGATGGAGATGGAAGAAAAAAGAAAGGAGGATACTACAGAGAACTGGAACTACAAAGAGCAAGACTTTTTTCCCCTCTCCCTTCTTCCACCATCTTATGTTTCCAGTCCAGACCAACATTTTGTTAACAAAAGCGTTGTTGTAACATGTAACCTCAAGCTTGTGTTGGAAAAGGCTTACTTAAAAACAACAACAAAAAAATCTTCAAAAAAGGCTCTCACCCAATTTCCTGTTTTACAAATTCCACTCTCCACCTCCAGAGAAGAGACAATTAGCATCTACAGATTCCAATTCTTGTAACCTTTGCCTTTGGTGCCACAACTTTTATAGCCATTTATTTTGTCTAGGCATTTGGTCCCTAACTTTTTAAAGGCACAAAGCCTGCGTTCATGTTTTGCACATAAGAGATACCAATTAAAATATGGAGACTAATCACACACTCAAAACTAAGTATGTCTTTAAAGGATTTAAAGCTTACCAAGTTTTAAAAAGCTTATAGACCCTTAATATTTAATACAGGTTGACAAAAATGTAATGTCAGCTCAATGGAATTCTCAAAATAATACAACACATTGCAGACAGATTTACACCACAACAGGTCACACAAATCTGAGGGCCTCAGAGGTCCAAGAAATTGTACTGGCTGCTCACATGCCTGCCTGTATTCTTTCACATATCATAAAAGTATTGAGAAAGGAACACTAACGGACTCTGAAGATAGCTAGGAGTATGGCAGTATTCTGAAGGAAACACAGGGATGGGGATCGGTGGAAGGAAAGTATTTGGTATGATTTATCTACAGGAATGCAATACAGTCATTTCAAGAGAAGTCCAGAAGCTGTATTTTTTAAACCAGCCTCATCTATCTCTTATCTATACCTTCGATCGGAGAGCAAGGTTCTCCTCTTCCAACTCCCTGAGTTTATCTTGCAAGATATCCAGCTGCAAGAGGCTGTGCGATACATTGAAAGATTCATTGGAACGAAGTGGCGTGGAACAGCTGGAATCTGTTTCACTCTCCTCAGAAGCAATTGAAACAATACGAAGCAGGTCATCCTTCTTCGACAGTTCATGCTGCAGCTGGTTAACCTATGACAAAAAAAGATAACCAGCTTGTGATATATACTTTAGCTATACAAGAGTATAGTAAATTATTTGTGCAGCCTCTAAATTCTGGGAACATCACAGGTCCAGTATAAACTGAGATCAAAAACAGCCCACAAGTGACAACCAATTTATTTATGTTTGCACAGAAGATTTATATTCTATTTATTTTATAGGTAGTTCACAAAATTGTAATTTTAGCATTGTAAGGGAGACAGAACAAGGTAACACAAGAATGGATGACAAAATCTACTTTTAAAATAGTTAACCTCAAAACAATCTTCCAGCTGCTTTGATATACCTTTACCTTTTAACATGTTAACTATCGTTTTGGTTACAACTGTTTCATCTGCACTATAGTTTTCTGGAAAAAAGAAATCCTAGACATCTGTGCCCCCACTTCACACATGAAATGAACTGTAGGCCAGATAAAAACAAGAGAAAAGCGAGATGTCAAATTTAGCCACGTTCCATTTTGTATATACAAATGTATGTGAATACGTAAGTCTATTCTGGCTTACAGCTGATTACAAGAATCTATTTATTACCTGCATACTGTTTTATACGTGCAACTGAATCTCTTTCACTATAACCTAGAATACATCTGTGTTATCCAGGGATAAAAACCTGGGATACTTTATAGGTTGTCAACTTCTTTTTTTAAGTAAGAATAACCAAGAGAAGATTACATAAGCACAGATTCCTTAAAGCAAAAGATGGGAGTGAGGATCTTGAGAAGAATTCTGTTGTCATTATCATTTGTTTTTAATTTATTTTTTAATGTAAGCACCCCATTAAATCAAGCTCATTCTCTGGTTCTTTCCTCACTTGGGAAGATGTTATATAAAAGGTTCTGTCAGATGCCAACTACATAGTTTATTTTTTCTGAGATTATTAGATTCATATTTTAAAACCAGAATATCAGATTGATGGTCAAAATAGACGCTTCTAAAAATACAATTCTACTATAGGTATATCATAATACCACCTAACATGCTTGCAACTTCTTAGGAATTACAATATTCAGTCATCATAGTCAATTCTTGGACCAAGAAAGCTGACCGAACTATGACCAAGAAAGCTGGCTGAACTATGACAGTTCGAGCAATGATTTCTAATTGTACTTCTGTAGTTTTGAGAGCAGCAATAACCTACTTCCATAGTGAAATAACATGTTTCTGTTAATCCTCTTCTTCTCCTCTTTAAAAGGAGGGGGGTGGGAGGGGGGGGGGAAGAGAAATCACTCACTTGGTCTAGAGTTTGTCCTAGCTGTTCTTCTAGTGCTTCATTCCGTTCTGTTAGAAGATGGTTTCGCTTAAGAAGGGCTTGTCCAATTCGAGCTGCCAGTTCCAGGTCCCGATCTCTCTGTTCACAAAATGAAAACAAATGTATGCTTTTGATTATGTAAATTTAAAATTCAGAGTAACTTTAGATTTTCCTGGCTATTGGTCAGCGTATCTTAACTTTGAGATCCCCATTCACTCTCAAATGGATTGCTTCAGCAATGCTGGTTAGAACAACGGTTAATATTTCATCATTTGGATCCAGAATACATTCATAACTGTGTTTCTTGATACAGCTAAATTCTATTCCACAGTCATTTGCAATAATAGGGAAGGGGGAAAAAAAAAAAAAAACCCAGCTCCAGCAACTACCTAGGGAACAGTTTAGTTTTTTGTGCTGAATACTGGAGAGGTTATATGGGCTTTTGTATCACGTCAAGAAGCTGCATATACTTAGGCCTGTGGTCTTTGAAGCATCACCTTCTCCAGGACAGACTACTTGACTGAAATAGTGATGACAGGGTAGAAGCTAAGGAGCAATAGGAAAGCAGAAGAAAGCCTTCTTATGTCTCATTGGCTCCTGTGAAGCATCCATAGTTTTGCTAAATTTTGTTTTTGAGTTGCCCACTGGGCAACTTCTCATTACCCAGGTGTTTCACTATTTGATAAGCACCTCCTACAGGTAACTGAACCAGATTTCCCAGTAACTGAGCAAAATCTTTCCTCAAATATGTCCTCAACTATACTAACACAGCCTTATATAGATGAGCGTACCTCAGCTAGCAAATGTTTGACCATGTCAGCATCACTGTAGGTTTTCGTTATTTGCTCCACGTTATCTGTGCCAAGAACTGAGAAGAGAAAAAAAAATACTCACTGAAGTACCTTAACTACAAGAATAATGTTGGGAAGGGAGAGCTAAAACTCAGAGGATATTCTTTATAGAAGCGCAAATACAGCAATTAGTTGAGGAAGCCAGCGGAGGCTATAAAAATGCATCTTAACTTCAGAAATGTGAAACAATACTCATTTGGAAGACTGATCCAATTAGATCTTAAACATGTACAGCTTTCAGCAAGATTAGCTAAAAGTTCAAGTGCTCACACATCCTTCAAATTTACGAACGGGAGAAAATCTCTTAAGATCAACTTTTTGAATACAGTTAAACTACTGAATCATCCAGCCTGCTGAGGAGAGAGAAAGAGTACTGTATATCCAAACAGAGCTGAAAACATCTGCAAAACAAAATCCACTTTAGTGTATGTGACAGCTATAAACAGGAAGTATGGAAATCCCAGAGAAAGATCACAAAAACTTATTTACAGAGTGCTTGATCATCTTGGAAAGCAGTTAAAAAGAAATGGGATAACAGACTGTATGTCTGTAATTTAAATCCAGTAGTAAATCCTATCGTATTGATAGAATGACTTCAAAGTTTGAAGAGTTGGTAAAACTACTAAAAAACTGAGAACAATCAGGACTTGAAAAGGACTTGAAAAGCAGGACTGAGTCAGAAAGAAACAAAGAGCATGGAGAATGCATGACAACTCTGGAAAAAAAAAAAAATCAGTGCTAAAACAAAGCACTGGCCTTACTAGGTCTTGTCTTGAGAAATAAAAGAATCTAGTAAAGAAGAAACCTTAATTACCTTGTGCAAATTTTTGAGATTCAGCGAAGGAGGAGGGAGGAAGTTCTAAAAGAGCTAGAGTGTCCGAAAATGAAAGGCAGGAAAAAACAGAAGGGAGAAAGAATTAAAATTTAAGGACACAGGTTGTTGATTTGCATGCATCCATCACCACCAAAAATTGAAGTGTGTGTAAACGTACACTTTGTACTGCTGAAACTTTCTTAGAACTGTTAAAGAGCCATTTAAATATGATTCCCTTCAGGAGAGGAACTATACATGTTACTTACAGGAGAAGGCCGATTGTGCTGGTATAAGTTCAGTAGAACTTCACCGTTTTTGCCTTATGGAATCAGGATCATGAAAGCAAAGAAGGCAGCAGTATAAATGTAACAAATACGGAAATATCTGCTTCAGCTGAATTTCTAAGTTAACCTGTTTTGAAACTAATTCCATCAGCATCACAGTGCAAAGTGAGATTGTTATTGGATTTGGTCTAAATTTGCTTCTGAGGAATTGTTTGATTGTTCTACCATATTTAAACCTGCTTCGTACTCCGAACAGATATTGGTATTGGTTCTGGGTTTTTTTTGTTGACTCTTGTTGAGGGCTGCACATTTTACTGAGACAGTGAAGCACTAACTGAAGTGCGCACCATCTTTATTTGCATATAAGCTTTGCCTGTCCTTTACTTAGGTAACTGCCACACATAACCTTGCAGAATATAACACTAAGGCTATGTTAGGGGAAAAAATAAAAGTTGCATTTTAGTTTACGTGGAAACTTACACAGTCATGAAAAACAAGCGAACAGTACAGAAGAATGAGGTGTACTCAGCTGTTTCTCTAAAATAGTTTGCAACAGAAAAATAAATCAAACTAATAAATAAAACACTTTTTCCCCCCAAGCAGATCAGTAGGCAAAAAAAAAAAAAAAAAAAAGCTATTTGGACATTTAGAAGCTTTGAACTTACAGCAATGCCATTTACTAATTATTTTGGCAGGCAGGAAAAAAACAGAAAATCTCTTCACAAAATTTGAAGTACAGGCACTTAAGGGTCAACTTTACTGTACTACTTTCAGAGTGGTTGCAGATACGTGATGAAAGACGACTCCAAACTCACTTATTAATCTTCTGAAAATTCACGGCACATACAAAAAGAAGGGTCAGCCCTTACAGGCAGAAGATTACAGCCAGTTCTCCGGTGGTATAAGTGTTCCGAGCAGATGATTCAATCTCTATTCAGTGCTAAGTCACCTTAATGAACTAATTTATGCTAAGTTCATACATGGTTACTCAGGTAGATTTTTGACGTCTCCTTTCCTAAAAGCAAAAACAACAAAAAGCTTGTCCCAAAAATATTTGCTCTGGTAAATGAGATCTCAGAACTAAGAGCTTTAAAACTTAGCTCCATACAACTTTTGTTATTTTCACACAGTACAGGATCACAACCATAATCAGTTTGTTATAAATCTCTCTCATGAACACGTGCATGTGCAATCTCTCTCCTCACTCACCTTGCCAAGCAAAGGCTGCAAACAGCTCGTCATTTTGGTTAACACTGTTGTTATCCATCGCCATGTCCTTTTATTCACTTGTATAAGGAGTTCTAATGATAGACGTTTTGCAACTCAGGGTTCTTTCACTACGCTACTACAGTTGAAGCATAAGATATTCCTCCACCTCACTGAAAACATTGCCAGTGAGACTCAACTGTTCACCGGATAAACCTTCTAAACATGCAGCAATAGCCATAAAAAGAGGAGGAGCTCAAGTGCAATGAACTGGGTTTTTCCTTAGATGCTGTACAAGCTACACACTGACTCACATCATGATCCCGGCACCCTCTTTTGGAAAAAGTTGTAACAATTTTTTCATAGATACACATAAACACATGTACGCACAAACCCTCACTGGAAACAAACTCAAAGATAACCCAACTTATGCTTCAACAATACAATTTTAACAGACTGTCATATTTATTCCCAATTACAATCATTAGTAAGAGAGATACAAACTTCATCTAACAAGGTGTACTAGTACAGTATTTATAGACTATAACTACATCCTGATTTGCAGTCGCATCTGTCTTATCTCAGTCGTATTTGAGCCAAATTACTAGGCTCAAAAGGTCTAATATGAAGACTACTACGGTCAAAGTCTTTGTCTGGACAATTTCTAGGAGAAACGTAAACCTTATTTATCCTGAATGTATTTGACTCAGCAGTTACAAGAGCGTTCTTAAATAATGAGATTAGCTGTCTGTTATATCTACCAGTGATCTTTTATATTAGCATGAAGCGTTCGTTTCACATCCTGGTTGCATGCTTAAATTTTAATCTCACATAGAGAAGCGCCTAGACTATCATAAAATGTAAAGTTTTAAGACTGACTCATTCTTAAGATTCACTTTTGGGTGGAATTCTCCCAGTCACTGCAAGAGGGCATCTCTGAGAACGTCAAGTAAACCTCTGTGGCCGCTGTTCAAAAACCTCTCAAAAGCAGTCTACCATTTTAACAGGACACTTCTTCCTACAGCTAAAAAGTATTTATCACTGGGTGAAAGAGGAAGGCACCACCTTCTGCAGTGCCAGGAAAACTGATAAATAAATAAAAGACTGTCCTTTAAACCCCTGCCTCTCTCACCGCAGTTTGGAAACGCAGGCTCAAACTGCCAGAAGGGCCCTCTCTCAGAGAGCTGTTCTTAATCACACTGGAACCAGACAGCCTCAACAGAGCTGCATTTTATGCAAACTTGCTTCCAGCACTGACAGACTCTGATCCCACCTCTTTAAAATAAAACTTAGAGGCAAGTACACACCCCAATGACTACACAGTTCCTTCAAGGGAACTATAAAAGCGTTCACTCAATTGAAAAACATGGCTTTTAAAATACTTCCCATAACTAAAAAGAATTCCAAGGCTGCAAGTTCAACTGAGAATAAAGATCTCCTTAAACTGTGGGACACTGCATGCTTAGAAGGTAACATTTTGTTTACTCTTTTGCTATACTCCCTGGGTGGAGCACCAACAGAAAACCCTCTTTCAGTTGTGGCACATAAAAGGAAAAGATAATCACTACAGAAAAATAGTACCTTGTATCTAAACACCAAGTTCACCCTCCCAAGTTGTTCCTCCCCATACATGGAGGAAAACAGGACTCACCCATTTCTCTGAAAGGATTACAAAATGTTCTCCTCTTTTCACATGAAAATACTTGAAAGTACAGGCAAATAAGTGTTCAGTTCTTCTGGCAGCCTTCTGTAACATTTGATTGTTAATATAGTCAAGGGGGAAGTTTTCTTCATATTGTCTGAAGCTGGCATTCTCCTTCTAAAGACCAGCTAGCTTTGTTTTGCTTGTTTTAAGAACTGCTGTAATCATAACCAACTGATGGCCATAATTTACTTTTTATTTTCAAAACTGGAAGGCAGTGATCAGTGTTGATCTAGTATTAAGCTACTTGGCATTCATAAAATTTCTATCGCCAGAAGAAACCGTTAACAGCATTTCAAAAAAAAAAAACACTGACACAAAACAAACGGCAAACATCTACAAAAGAACCACAGCATCGGTAATGTTCCTGAAAACAGACCTGCTGCATACTCTGTCACATGTCACACTTATGTCACATCCAATCTAGTACAACTGTAGGTTCCTGCCTCTTTTTCCTTACCACAGGTTTCCATTCTTACCTCTGTGTCAAGTCAAATGATCAAGCAGCAATGGGACATGCTAGGTCAGCTCTTAGAATTGCAGAGCTGAACTACAAGCACTTCCTCTGAACTCAGCTTATTGTTCCTCCTGTGCAGAATTTTGTAGATTTGAATGTTATATTTTAATATTAATCAGTTCATATTTACTTTTTTCTCTTCAGTAAGTGCAAAAAAAAAATCCTTAGGCCCAGAGATACTCACTCATGTAACGGAAGGTCTCCTCGTCATGAATTGGAGAAGTGGTTTCAGGAAGATGACCATGGCAGGTAGGAGTCTGGCTCCAGTCTTGATTCTCATACAGGTACAGAGAGTCCACTCGTAATTTGTACTCTGGCAACTGTTCTTCTAGCATGCTCACCAGCTCTACCTCAGGAATATCTTCACTGGAGCAGACATCTAAAAGCAAGCAAATGCCATGTCACCAAAGCTAAGTACGCTACTGTTAAATATGCTACATACCTGCCACAGTAGTATAAATTCTTTATGCTAATAAGTATTTTATAAACCTTCAGTAGATGTTTTTTGTACTGGACAAATTATCAGACTATTTACTGAATCAATACTTGATTGATACTGTAATATTTGCAAGTTCTTCATCCTCAATCGACTCTGTAACTTCCTGGAAGGGTAGTCTAGCCTCAGACTTCTTAAGTATGACATATTTATTAAGTTCCAATTTCTATCTTTCCTGCTTATTCTCAAAACTAAAAAACAGACCTATATTTTACCTGCTATGGATTTTCTAAGGTTCCACTGGCTTTAGCATAGTTATAGTTCTCTTTTCTGGAGGAAAATCTTTTTTTCCTTGTTCTCCTTTTGTTTGGTATCGAACACAGGTTCAAAAAACTAATCTTAAAGTAGCCACACACACACACACACAAAATCAACTGAAAACTGCCTTGAAATTAGGCAGCTCAAACATAAATTCTATTATCAACCATACCGAATCACACTTTTATGTGAACATGGTACCCAAAATAATGAAAAGGAAATTTAGCTCTTCCTATTTTCTCTACTCTCTTCATGACTGTGAGTGGGGGGGGGGGGGGGGGGAAGGTAAGAGAGATAAAAAAAAGAAAAAGAAAAAGAAAAAAAGAAAAAAAAAAACAGATTCAAGTTGCTAAAATACTCTGGAGAAACATACCAAACCTATACGACGATTATCTAACATTTCCACTGAAGCTGAAGATCACCTTCAATATATTTCAGGGGAAAACCCATCAATGTTAACAATTAACATTGAGTATTTTACAAATATTACACAGTGGAAACTGATTTAACATGCTAGTTAGGACGACCCACTATTTTTGTTCATATGCGCTATCAGATAAGCAATATAAAGAATATGAAATTGAAATTTGTCTTTAGGCAGCTGTGCTAAAAATGTTAAGATTTATTCAGGATTTATAAAGGAACTATTTTTCCAACTTACCGGAGATGCTCTCCAAGCCTCCGTGATCGAGATTCATGAGCTCCTTCTTCACAATTCACTTACTTGGAAATAGCATTCTGTAGTCAGACTGTGCAATGTCCCTTTTTTGCTTTGATAGAAAGATGGCTTTGGTTTAGAGTCTGGGAGAGCCATCAAGCTACTTAGACACTAACGAATCAGATGTCAATTCACTCCCATAGACTGCTGCATACTCCAGATCTATTTCCATCTTTGGACACACTTATTTCATCTGAGGTACTGATCAGTAGAAATATTTCACATAAGTTTCATGAGCGTCTCAGCTCAGCCATCACCTAGAAATAAACAGAATGGCAGAGTTTCGCAGATGCCACTGTCCTGCAAGCAAGACAGGTCAGTTAATGGGACCTCATCTCTTTCAGTCTACTGAATTTCTTCCCTGTACTATCATTTAACTCAAAAAAAATTTTAGACAAACATTTTAATCCTCAGTTAACACATTACATGTAGAATGTAGCATTAAAAATATGGCTTTTCCCTGCAGACATGACAATCTCAGCTTTACCATGAACTTTGTCAATTACTATTTGTCTATACCATTACTCCTCGTCTAAACGATATTTAATGTATGACAGGTTCATTCTCCAACATGGGCATTTATGTTTTATTGTAAAAGGATAGCCGCTCCAACCAAGTAGAAATTTTCTTCAGGCTAGTAAAGTTATTTAAAACGATGAGTTCTAAAGGCAGGATTTCAAAATGCTGATTTAATTAGCATTCTAATTGTTATAAAGAAATTTTATTGGACTGTTTTCTTTAATCTCTTCCCCTTTAAAAGTCTGTTAATAAAGAATCTATCAGAAAAGTTACTTCACGGTTCCTCTTCAGCAGAGCCTCATTAAAAACAATTTTAACAGTTGAAAACAGAAATGAAGCTATAATGTAAAATTGGGATTATTTATCAGAACTGTTTAAGAAAGTGAAAATTGTGCTGTTCTCTTGCCAAGACTAACTGATCATCCTTCACATAATATGCAAAAGTAGTCCTAAGTAATAGAAAAATCCAAAATGCAAGAAAACAAAGCCTCATTTTCACTCCTCCTACATTCAGTAAACACAAAGTTCTCTTGAAATTTCAGAATAGTTCCAAATTTGCTCTTAACAGTTTCCCCAAGGTCTCCCACTGCCAAGCACAGCAATCATAGGTCTGTCTTGCTGTCATAGTAACCTCTTATTTGAGAGGACCAGAGTGGACAGTGCAGAAACCTTTTAAAGAAAGCACAGAGCTTGCTAGTTCATCTACTTGTAGACTTTGGCAGGACGTCAAAAAAGAACTTTCTTCCATTCAGGTCAGCTCAGGCTTGCCAGCAGTATCATCTTAATTTGTCACTTCTTTCTTTTATATGTGTTTTATTAACTAGTTTTTATTGTTAACTGTATTAGGCACTTACTAAAAATATTAAGATCAAGATTTCAGAAACATTTACTATTTGCACATATAGCTGTTTCTAAAGAGACTGGTATTTAAATGGATTGCTGAAAAAACACTAAATATGCAGACACATGCACAAAACTTAAAGCCACTCAACACCGCAGAAGAACGGACTTCATGGCCTCTGTCCAACATTTTCTACACCTCGGTCTAGGACTTCACAGTCTTGACACAGTCAAAGTTTTAGATCCTCAATGTTTTCATAGAGGTATTTTACCAAAAAATACAAAGTGGTCTCCTTAGCCTAGACTATAATATTACGCTGTGATGATCATTTTTGTTCGACTGTGCACCTTATCTCAGATTAAGCCTCTGATCTTTGCACACTGTAAAAAGATGCATTAAACTTAAAAACCAGTATGCTTGAAGCGCTTATTTTCTTCAACTGTTTTACAGCGCTTGGCATACTCTTCTTTTTTGGTTGTGGATTTTTAAACGGGACCTTGACTCTTACTGATTCAAGACTACTTATTCCATTTTTATATTGAGATTTGTCCTGCATTCTGCACTTCTGTCAATATCTCAGAAAATATCCTCAAATTCTCTGTCAGCAGCACTTCTCAATATAAAGTACACTTTGGTTACTTCAGGTGAATTATTATCAAATGTATATTTGACTTGAATGGAGAGACAAAACATCTAGCTACTGACTTTCTCCCTGTACCATAAAGAAACCCGAGGCGTTAATTCAGAAACACGCACACAAGTTCAAAAAGCTTGAGAGGTTTCCGATCACCAGTTAGCCTGAAGCAACTAAATACACATGGATTACGCAACGTGCACTACACTTAGGCCTTAAATTACAATCCTAGCGTTAAGCCAGGGCTTCTAAGAATCCCTCCCAAGTAACTTCAGTCCATAAACAGAAGCGTTCTCAAATCCATAAAATTAGTTCTCATCTGTGCAAGCAGCATGGTTGCTCCAAGAGCAGACAGAATCACACAGTAGCTGAGGTTGGAAGGAACCTCCGGAAACCATCTAGTTCAAATCTCTACTTCAAAGCAGGGTCAGCTACAACAGGTTGCTGAGAGCTGTGTTCAGTTGGGTTCTGAAAAATCTCAAAGGCATGGAGCCTCTACAGGCTCTCTGGGCAACCTGTTCCAGCGTTTGACCATCTTCACAGTAAAAGAAATCACATTTAAACAGCATTTCTTACATTTCAGTTTGTGCTCATTGTCTCTTGTCCTGTCATCAGTCACAACAAAGTGTCTGGCTCCATTTTCTTTTTACCCACCTATCAGATGTTTATATACATGGATAAAATCCCCCTGAGCTTTCTCTTCTCCAGACTAAACCATCCCAGTTCTCTCAGCCGCTCCTCATATGTTAGGTGCTCCAGCATCTTGATCCGCCCTATGGCCCTTTGCTGGACTAGCTCCAGTACGTCCATGACTGTCTTGTACTGGGGAGCCCAGCACTGGACACAGCACTCCAGATATATCTCACCAGTGCTTGAGTAGAAGGGAAGGATCACCTCCCTCAACCTGCTGGCAAGGCTCTGCCCAGGAGCCTGCTGGCCTTCCTTAATGCAAGGGTGCATTGCTGGCCCGTGTTCAACTTGGTGTCCACCAGTGCCCCAGGGCCTTTACTGCAAAGCTGCTCTCCAGCCAGTCAGCCCCCAGCCTGTACTGGTGCAGAGGGTTATTTCTCCTCCAGGGCAGGACTCTGCATTTTCCTTTGTTGACCTTCATGAAGTCCCTGTCAGCCCATTTCTCTAGCTCCCTCTGAAAGCCAACACAACCATCTGGTGTTATCAAACGCTCTCTCTAGTTTTATATCATCTCCAGACTTGCTAAGTGTGCGCTCTGTCCCACCATCCAGGTCATTAATGAAATGTTAAGCAGTACTGGACCCAGTATCGAACCCCGGGGCACACCACTAGTGAGACCTCTGGCTTGACTTTGTGCTGCTGATCACAACCCTTCAAGTCTGGTAATTTAGCCAGTTTTCAATCCACTTCCCTGTTCATTTATCTAGCCCATATTTTACTGTTTTTTCTATGAGCATGTTGAGTCACAGTGTTGAAAGCCTCACTAAAGCTGAGATAAACAACATCTACTGCTCTCCCTTCATCCACTGAGCCAGTAGTCTCATCATAGAAGGATAGAAGGCTTGCGAAGCGTGATTTTTCTCTTCATAAATCTGTGCTGACTACTTCCAGTCACTTTCTTGTCCTTTACATGTTTAGAAACGGTTTCAAGAATTATTTGCTCCTTTATCCTTTCCAAGTATCAAGTTGAGGCTGACTGGCCTGTAGTTCCCCAAATCCTCTTTCTTATCCTTCGTGAAGACAGGAGTGACATTTGCTTTTCTTCAGTTCTCATGAACCTTCCCCGGTCACCACGACCTTTCAAAGACTATCAAGAGTGGCCTTGCAAATGACACTGGCCAGCTCCCTCAGCACTCATGAGTGCATCCCATCAGATCCCACGGACTTGGGTGTGTCCGTTTTAAGTGTTCCCTAACCTGATCCTCCTCCACTGAGGGTAAGCCTTCATTGCTCCAGACCTTCCTGCAGGTCTCAGGGACCTAGGATTGCTGAAGGCAATCTTCACTTACCAGTGAAGATCAAGGTAAAGAAGGCATTAAGTACCTTTTCCACATCCTTTGTCACCAGGTCCCCTGCCTCATTCAGCAGCAGGCTCACATTTTCCCTAGTCTGACTCTTGCTGTTGATGTGCCTGTAGAAGCCCTTACTGTTCACATCCCTCACCGGATTCAATTCCAGGTGGGCTTTGGCTTTCTTAACTCTATCCCTGCATGTGTGGACAGTGTCTCTGTAATCCTCCGGCGTCATCTGTCTCTGCTTCCACTTCTCGTATGCGTCCTTTTTATGTTTAGTTTTGTCATGAGCCCCTTTTTCACCCATGGAAGCCTCCTGTCACTCTCACTTGACTTCAAGCTCAAGAATGGTCCAGCCAGATGAGCAGGGAGGAGATGAACCTTGAAAATCAACCAGCTCTCCAGGACCTTTCTTCTCTTCAGGGCCCTATCCCATAGGATTCCTTCAGGCAGATCCCTGAATAGGCCAAAAGCCTGCTCTACTGCAGTCAAGTGTTGTGATTCTGCTATTTGTCTTGTTCCCTCCATTCAGGATCCTGAACTCTTCTATCTCATGGTGGCTGCAGCCAAGGCTGTCCCTGATCTTCACGTTCCCAACCAGTTCTTCCTTGTCTGTAAGAATGAAATAAAGCAGAGCACCTCCCCTCATCAACATTCTCTTGGGCAGGAGAAATTCTAGCCCAATCACTAATCATTGCAAAAAGCTCACAGGATTCATGATTAATTAACAAGCTGTCGGAACAGTTTGATTTTTTTCCTTGCAGTTACTAGATTTTCTGAGGGCAACTTTCAGTAAGCTTGCTTTTTGAATAACTTTTTGACCATCATTTTAAATATAGACCATCGCTAGAATCCACATTAGCTCTATATTTTTCAAGAAGCACTAATAACTTAACTTCAGTGACGTTTTTAGCATGCTAAAGTGTTGACATATAAAAGATTAGTTATTCTAGTTTGTCAGGTCTTTTCCATTCTTATTCTGTCCAAAGAACTGGGGAAGAAACAGCGTATAAGCTTGTTGGAATGTGCGCTTCTTTGCTAAATTGTCATTGGTGTTATAAGAAGGAATCATTGATGACAGCCAGCCATGTTCTTAGAAAGTGCTTCAGGTCTCCATATTCGTCAATCTTTATTTCTGAGTTAAATAAGTGCTTTAAAAAGTAAAAGCCTCAGAGTTGTTCTTACTGTGTTTAGGATGTAAGCCAGGCTTGATACAAGAAAAACTTCCTCACAAGACACAGTATTTTTCTTCTCTGTTTTCCAACAAACATGCTGAAGTTA